TTCTATGGAAGGTTCCACGTTAAAGGGCCAAGTGGTCGCGCCCTGGGGCAGCCTCGGACTTAAACTTTCTGACCCTGTCACCAACTATATTCTCTGTCTCAGAATGACTTGAGTTCTTAGCTAAGTGTGGTCGTGTCCAGAATCTTCTCCCCAATGTAATGACATTTCGAAGTTGTCCAGATTTCTGTTCTCTGATGGGACTCAGACATCCCCTCAAAGTCCTGTTTTTTAGCGTGATCCCATTAGGTAAGCTTGCGTGAGCTCCAAGACCTCAGTTGAGACTGGGAGAAATGACTGATCAGAGGTCACATAGTAAATGTGACAGAGCAAGGACTGGAGTTGGCAAACCCTACTGAGCTCTGTCGGGTCAGGTCGCGTTGATACTTGAGCGCGTGAATGCATTTCCAAGTCCTTAAATTCGTTAGGATTTTTCGGAACCTTCCCCCTTTTCTCTCCTCTGCCGCCTGTCTTCCAGAGGCGACTTGCACCCTCTCTCTTTTCTCACCTTGGATAGGAACCTGCGCCAGGGGCTGGAAGCAGAAAGGGACCCGCGAGAGTTAGTGGGTAGGAGGTTCACGCCGCTGCTGGCTGACTGGTTTGGCTCCAAGGTTAATGGCACAGCACAGGGCCTGGAGAAATTCTGCCTTGGCAACTTTATTTGCAATGTGGCCATGCACAGCTTTTTACATGTCCCTTACAGTCACCTCACCTGTAAAATGGAAGAGACTTTACCCAGTTTCTAGGCGTGTGGTGGAAATTTAGAGAGTTTGTGTCCCTGAAGCCTTTAGAGAATGGGATCCGCTGGTATCTGGGACGACTCAGGGGAAGCAGAGAGAGCCCGAAGGCTCGTCGCGCTGAGAAAGGTTTGTCGCAACCCCTGGCGCAGTTGTACCACAGAGTCCTACAGTGTTGTTGCTCTGTCCCTACCTCCTGTTTGTGGGCGGCTTTGTCCCTCTCTAGGGCTCAGTTTCCCAGTTTGCACTGGGCGGGGGGGGGAGGTGCGCTCCCAGGGACTGGACGTGACAGTCAGACTGGATGAGCGAAAGGGGGACCTCTCCCAACACTGGGTTCAGAAACAGGAATCAGAGTCTGGATTTCCGGTGGGGCGACGGCCTGCGACTCCCGTTCGTTCCCGAGAGCGGCGAGTGGAGGTCACCGAGGAAAAGATCAGGGTTTTGCGACATGGTGGGTCCCGGTGCTCGGCCACTCTCGTTGGCGTCCGGGCTGTCGCTCCCGCGCCCTCGTAGAGTTTCACCTCACAGGGGTCCTTGCTTTCTCTGGGCTGGGGCCGCCACCTACTCAGCCCTGTCCCCTCGAGAGAGCGCTTTGGCCTCTGTCTGTCCCCGCTCCCCACCCCGACTCCAGGTGGCCAGCGATTCCCCAGGAGCGAGCGGCACACGGAGGAACTTAGCGCCTTTTGGCTTTGTCGCTCCATTTCCCAGAACTGAGGGAAGGAGCGTCCTCCCACCTCGGTCGCAGCCGTCACTGACAAGTAGCAAAGAAAGGTGTGTGTGTGGGGGGGAGGGTGTCATTTCCCCGGACACGAGGCCCTCTGGGACTCGCCCTCACAAGGAAATTTGCTGAGTGACAAGTCCCAAGTCTGGCCTCCTGGGGGCGGACGAGAAGAGAAGATTCCCTCTTTTCCTGCTGGTCCTAGTTTGGCTGTGTCTGTCCGGTCACTTCACTTTTTGAGGGGCAAGGGGCGGGTTTGTTTCTACCTGAGTCCCTAGAAACGACTGTGTTGACATCAGGGAAGGAAATCGATGTCCCTGTGCGGTGAGAAGTTTGCCAAGGGGGAGAAGGACGCATGATGGGCGCAGGCGGAGGGCCTGTTGGTTGGCCTGAACTCACTCCAGCGTGGGACAGACACCCTGAGATCTGGGCAGCCCTACCTACTATTGGGAGTACTTGAGGGCTTGTGGACACTGACCCTGACCGCTGAAGAAACTACCAGAAGCTCCGCGGGGGAAAACGTAATTCCAGGGGAAACACCAGTCCTCTCCAATGGTTCCTTCCAGATAAAACGCCTCAGTGTTTTTTCCACGTCCGTAAGTTCCTTTTCCCCACTCCTCCCCTTCCTCCCGTCTTTCACTCAGAGGAGAAAAATCAAGAGTGTTCAAATATCTTTAAATATAGATTCCTAAGCACCAACACCAGAGGCTCTGATTCTGCCCTTAAGGACAACTTGTGGAACTCTGGTTCCTTGGAAGTGCCCCTCCCACCTGATCAGGCTCAGGAACCCAGTTTATAAACTAAGAGCCACAGACAAGCTACACAGCCAGGCTAATGCTTCACCTACCTGCACATCTCTTAACAGGAGAGAGACTCACCTAAAAAGGATGAAGCCAGTCTGGATACATACTTCACAGTCACACAAGCTTTCTCTCTGGAGGTAGTGCTAACTTCACATGAGCAAAAGGTTGGAAGGTATTTAAGAGATTCTTTTTCCCAAAGTTTAAAATTGCAACTGCCAGCTATGGCTCGGCTGGCTTGTGTGTCATTTCTGATTTTCTGTCAGTCTCTCTCTTTTCCATTTTTGCTTTAGCCTTCTTGCTACTTAAACATTTATTACATGATTCAAAAGCCAAGTTGAAAGTGCAAGGACACCCAGAAGAAAAGCTATGAATACACTCTGCTTGATTAAACAACGTACACTCACCATCTCAGGTGAGGTGTGAGGTGTCTGCTGCCTCTACACAGCCAAAGGGAATTAGTCTCTTCCAAAGATTCCTGTTCCCCTTTATTTTTCTTCCTTCTCTGGCTTGGTGGTTGTGGAAATTGCCTTCCTCATCTTTAGTTGCTGGACACATTGCCTCTGGACAGGAACTGAGCTGCTGAAAGCATCTTTCTCTGTCTATTTTTTCATTTGGCATAGGAAGCTTCAGACGTCTCAACAAACATCCTTTGCAGATGCTTCTAGATTCTATCTGTTATGTGTCTCTTGCTGACTGTGGTCCTCAGACTGTCTCTCCTTTCCCTGACACCTTCAGCAGTGATCTTAATTGTGTGTTCCTCACACTCAGTCCTGTAGACTGTTTACTGGACAGTAAAAATGGAGGCTCAAACAGTTAAAGAGAGGGAGGCATGAGTCTCAAGCTAGGGCTATCAGGGACCTATTAATAGAAGGGTGGCTTCTGCTTCCTCATTGATCTCCCTACCCTGAAGGATCTCCTCTGAGCTTTGGGGACAGATGGGCTCTGGGGACCCCTGGGGTTTGGGGATCAGGTTAAGCTTGAAGCTACAGGAAGGTTTTAGCAGGCTCAGTTTCAATTGTACATTTCAACTCCATAGAGATGGAGAAGATCCATCTTCTCTTCCCTCACCCTGCAAGCCTACAACCCTCCTAGCCTCTCCACCATCAGACCCCTTCTGAGCACTTACGGTACACCAGGATGTTATGGCGATCCTGATGGATCAGACCACTCTCTTAGGAAATGTTTTGGAGGAGATGGCATTGATTATGGTACCAGACAGAAAGTCCTCAGCAAATAAGTGGCTCAGAATCAATGCTATGAGAGTTGGGCAGGACACAAAGCTGTGTTTGAGGACAGTGGCCTGCACCTGTAGGCCTGGAGCTCTCTTTCATACTTTTCCTGCTCTGTCAGGAGCACAAAGCACCACTCTTGCCTGTCTCCCTCTATTCAACATGGGCATGTGTACTTTTCCATCACAGACTCCAAGAGCTTCCTAAATCAAAGGACCAAGCAAGGCCAGCAGAAAGGGGACCTGGCAGAGAATTTCCCCGAAGGAGTCCTTGGCAGATTTGGCTGTAGTCAGGGAGTTCCTCTGAGGGCAATGGAACAGAAGTTCATCATGTGCTTATTTGAGGTTACAACCTGCTAAAAACTGATGGGGCACGTTACCCAGAAACATCTAGCTATTTCCTTTGCTGGCCACAAGCATATGTGCCAAAAGGCCTGAAGAAGCAGGCAATTTCTTCCTTCTTTCTTTCCTTCCTCTTCCTTCCTTCTGTCTTTCCTCCTTCCACTCTTCTTTCCCTCCTTTCTCTTCCTTCCTTCCTTTCTCTCTCTATCCCTCTCCCCTCCCCCCCATATGGCAGGGACAGAAGTTGGGGAGGGTTTATTAGAGCCTTCTCTTTTAACAGAAAGAAAACCTGCACCGAAATAACCAATTAATCAGAGAGGACATACGTTGTTGTTGCTGCTTCGATAGTTACTCTGAAGAAAAAACTACTTTGGGAAGGGGGTGAAGGGTTGGGGATTGAACTTGAGAAAATTTTAAAACGCACCCTGGCGCAGCCCAGTCATTTCACCATTCGCGTGTCTCCAGGGCTGCTGGAGAGAAGTGAGCATGTAGGGACAGTGCCTAACACCAGCGACCTCTACGTCAGTGGCCCAGCCAGGAGCGTTTCGGAGGCCAAGCCAGGGACAGGGCCTGGGTTCCCCACTCACTGAGGACGCACAGAGCCTCTCTGGCCAGGGTCCTGGTTTGCAACCTCCTTACCCCCCCCATCGTAAATACAATGTCCCTCCGCAAGGTCCCAGCCCCAACCTTGCGCTCCCAAACTCCATCCCACTACCCACGCCTCAAAGCGAAGAGGTGGGCACCTGGGGTGCGCGTCCTGTTTTTTCTGCCTGGGCTCTCCTGTCTCCTCCACTTTTGCCCCCGACGTCCCAGGACAGCAGAGCAGGACATGCCACCAGCACTGGGAGGACGCAGCCCGTGCGCCTCGAGCGCTCTCAGGGGCGCAGCGAGGTTGCTAAGGGGCTGCCATGGCCAGGATGCAGACCCTCAGCATAAATCCCTGGGAAGATCTCCCCCCTCCTTCCCCTCTTTCCCCTCCATCCCCTTTCCCGCTCCGCGTGGCCCCGTTCCTCCCCAGCCCAGACGCCGACGCGCAGCACTCCCGGCTCGTCACTTTGCAAGGAACTTTGGCCCGCTCCCCGGCGCCCGGGAGAGGGATGTTAATGAGGGAGCGTGGCCTGGTGCTGTGAGCCATTCGGCTCCTGAACTGCGATTGGCTGAGGCGAGGCGGAAGGATGACGTTATGCAAAGAAGGGGCGGGGCCGCGAGGCGCGGGCCCCGCCTCCTCCCTTTGGGGTTAGTGTGCCTGTGTTTAGCTCTGGGGAGAGTCAGACTGGATTCCATAGGGAAAGCCTGCAAATCACTTCTATTTTAGCAAGGAGAAAACAGAATTTCCATCCTGCAGGGTCCACCCCTCTCTCTTTCTCCCTCTCCTCTCTTTCTATCTCTCTTTCCCTCCCCCCCTTTCCTCTTTCCCTCTCTCTCCCCTTCCCCCCACCCTCTCTGGTGTATCTGTCTACGGCAACCAGCGTCCTCCTCATCTACACGCACTGAAAGGAAAGAAACATCTTTGGTTGGGAGAGGAGGAAAAAAAAAGAGAGAGAGAGAGAGGAAAAAACTTGCCTGGTTGTGGAAAATGACACTTGAAGTAGCAAAGCCGGCAGCGCGAGTTGAGTCTATTGTTTCTTAAATTGCCATCAGGGTTTTTTTTTTTTTTCTTCCTGCTTCTTCAAGTGAAGGGTACCTCTACAAAAGGAAACTCCAGCCCCTCCTGTCCTCCACCCGCCTGTGATCACTACAAAAAAAAAAGCAAAAAAAAAAAAAAAAAAAAAAAGCACCCAAACCAAAAATCAACCAACCAAACAACCCCCAACAGCCAAGCATACATCTCTATTTTTTTAAATTTTGGTCTTTTCGTTGGATTTTCCCCCTTTTTTTCTCTCTCTCCTCCCCCCCCCACGGTGTTATCGCTCAATTTTGACTGAAGGTTTACATTTTTTTTTAAAATTTGCTTTTTAGCCCGCCTGGATCTTCTTCTAAGCGCGAGTTCATCGACTCCAAAAAAAAAAAAAAAAAATCTCTGGTTGGCGTTTTTTCTTTTCCTTTTTTTTTTTTTTTTTTAAATATTTTCAAGGGGGAGGAGATTTTCCACAAGAAAAGGTTGTTTTCATGTTTGGGATTCAGGAAAGCATCCAACGGAGTGGAAGCAGTATGAAGGAAGAGCCGCTGGGCAGCGGCATGAACGCGGTGCGGACGTGGATGCAGGGCGCCGGGGTGCTGGACGCCAACACCGCGGCGCAGAGGTGGGTACGGCGCGGGGACGGCGGCCGGGGAAGCGGCGAGCGGCGAGCGGGGGAACCGGGGAGCGGGGGAGCCGGGGAGCCGGGAGGCGGCCGGCGCCGCGGGGCCGCGGGCCGGGCCGCGCTGGTGCGGTGGCCGCTGCGCTGCGCTCCGCTCGCCGCCCGGGCACCGCGATCCCCGGCTGCGCTGCGTTCGTCGCCTGCGGCCGGAGAACTGCGAGCTGCCGGCCCAAGCTTTGCCGGCACTGTCCCCTGCCTCGGCTGTGACTGTTTTCATTTTGTTTTAACCCAGGAGCGGCATCTCACCAGTATGATGCTGGATATCTGTGTTTTTATGCGATAACGGTTTCTTTTTGGCTAGCTAGATCTTTTTCTTTCTTTCTTTCTTTTTCTTTCTTTTCTTTTCTTTCTTTCTTTTTCTCTTTCCCTCTTTCTTCCGTTCTTTATTTTCTTTTCACTCCCTCTTTCTTTCCTTACTATTTCTTTCTTTTTTCTCCCCGTCTTTCCTTTCTCCCCTTTCTTTAATTTTCTTCTCTCTTCTTTCCCTTCCTTCTCTCCATCTCTCCATCTGTCTTCCTTCTTTCCTCCCTCCTCTCTTCTTTTTCTCCTTCCCTTACCTTCGGGTCTCAGCTCCTGTTTTCTCTCCCCATTTCTCCCCCGAGTCTTCTCTTTTTCCTCCTATGGGTTCTCTTTCCTCTCTCTAGCCTTCAGTGTTTCTTAGTTGCTATTCTACTAAGCAACTCCCAACTTAAATTCTCACCTCTCCTAATAACCTTCCCCACCCCCTGTCACCATGGCCTCTTTCAACCCGAACCTCCCTAGATGTTAGACTATGTGGCCTGGGGGCACTGCCCTTGGAGGTTGAGTTGAGAAACTTTCCTGGGCACACCCAGTGTCCTTTCCAGGGGCTCCAGGTCCTAAGTGAGAAATGGTACCCTCTTCACTCCCGGCCACCAGCTGGGCTTAGGGGAGTGGGAGACCCCGTGGCCCCAGGCCCAATCTGCCTCAGAGGGTGCGGAAGGGGAAGAAGGCAGACGACTAATTACATCATGCCCTGCTTCCCGAGGCTGGAGACAAGTGTCCCCAGCACTGCTCCCATCCCCGCTGAGCATAAGGTTGGGGGTGGTTGGTAGTGAGAGTGAATTGGGTAACTGGGGTGGAAGCGAAAGTGTGTGCGCGCGTGTGTGTGTGCGTGCGCCGCGCGTGTGTTTGTGTATGTCTGTGCCTCCGCGCGCTTGTGTCGGGCATGTCGGGCTGTCACTGACCGCCGGCGCCCCAGGCGCCCCAGGCTTCAGTCACTGCCGGTGGTGCTTAGCCAGCAAACCCTGGCCCTTTGGGTTTCTGGAATGCTCGAGGATCTCTCGGAACAGCGAAACTTTGTCAGGACAGGTCTTTAGAAAAACACGCACGCACACGCACACACACCCCTCAGTTCCTTTTCCCACAGCGACCATCCTTCGGGACAGCTCTGGGTTCCACCCTGACACCCTTCTCCACAAGCTTGTTTCCGGGTAGAGATTTGGCTCTGCGAGGTCGGGTGCCCCAACTGGCCGCGGCGCAGGAGATTTCCTGGGGTGGCTGCTGCCGCGAGGAACTAGTGTGTCTCGATTCACTTCCACCTGTCCACGGACTTGAGGCTGGAAATTCGAAAGGGTGGCAGGAACCCGTTGCCGTGCTCCTGTTTATTTTAAATTGTAAACTAGGGGCTCTTTTCTCCGAACCTCGTTTCGCCTCGGCCACTGCCACTTTTCTCCCTCCCCACCCCGCGTGCTCCAGGTGGGAGTAAATGCGCAAACGTTTAGCTTCGCGCGCAAAACCCAAACCAAACTTTCACGCCTCTTTGGCGAGTTCTGAGGACCCGCACAAGCAGAGACATGCGTGCCCGTTATCTGCTGCGCCTAGAGTGCTTGATGGGTCAGGGAGGGCACCCACTGGATGTTTAGGGAGCAGAAGAGGTGGGTGATTGAGGATTCGCGCGTGTGAACTGGGTGACAAGGGGGGCGCGGGTTCGACGTGTGGCTTAGCCATCTAACTTTGAGTCTTTGGCCGCAGCGGGGTGGGTCTGGCCCGGGCTCACTTTGAGAAGCAGCCGCCTTCCAATCTGCGGAAATCCAACTTCTTCCACTTCGTCCTGGCCCTCTACGACAGACAGGGCCAGCCCGTGGAGATCGAGAGGACAGCCTTTGTGGGGTTCGTGGAGAAGGAAAAAGTAAGTGGGCACAGCGCTGCCTCCGCTTATCCCTGGCTCGGGGAAGCAGGCCCAGGCGCCCCGGGAAGCGCGCTTCTCTGTGAGTGTAAAGCATCCATAACGCTCCTGTAAGGGGTCCCCCAAGCCACTTCCCGTGCGGGACGAATCTGGGCTCCAGGTCCACAGGGTCCTGCTCCAGAAAAGTTCACGTGGAACCCCCAGAGCTGGAGAGAGGCGAGTCAGGCTTCACAGTCTAGAGCTATGGGCGCCTGAGATGAAGTCGCCTGGAACACCAGACCACGCAGCGCCTGCCTCAGCTGGCCCAGGCTGCAGTCCCCAGGCCCTGGGAAGAGGATGGCCCGTGCTCGCCCCACGGAGTTTTTTGGAAAGAGAGACAGAACAGTTTGGGATGGGGGAGGAGGAGGGATAACAGATTGCCACAATTTCTGTTGCTACTGGGACTGACCGGCTCACCGGCTTGGGGGCGGGGGCGTCCGGCTTGGGGAAAGTGGCCTCGAAGTTAGTCCCTTCGCTCACGCGGACCTCTCTCCTGCGTCTCTTGTGTCTTTGCGTCCTGCTGCAAACCAGGAAGCCAACAGCGAAAAGACCAATAACGGAATCCACTACCGGCTCCAGCTCCTCTACAGCAATGGTGAGGCTCTCTTCGTGTCGGTTCCGGTACCCTGGGGCTCCGGGGCTCCGGGTCAGGGCAGTGGGCTCACGTAGGCCCAGGTGGACGAAAGCACCCCCAGCAAAGCCCAGTCATCAGCCTCCCTGCAGGTGAACCGGCCTCCCCTAAACTGACCTAGGAAGTTTCACCTGAGGAGGCCCCAAGCTGTATTTGAGGCCAGGTGTGGCACCTCAACCCTCGCTGGGTCACTTCCCTTCTCTCTCCCCTTCCCGAGGCCTGTTCCTTCGGCTTGGCCCAAACTCAAGGCCCAAGACCCCTTCCTTGGGCTCGGTGATGTAGGAGCGGTGTTGGCCTCGAAGATCCCAGGCGATTGCTTGGGTAGGTAGAATAGCTAGGTGGGGGTCCTGCCCCATGCCCCAGCTGCAGCGCTGGGAGTCTGGTCCCGAGGGCGAGCCTTGGGTTACACTGGTGCTCCTCTTTGGATCCTGGGGGACAGAGGTCCTGGCACTATTTTTTCCAGGACGGTGGGAGTCCCACAGGTCTTGAATCCCTTTGTGTGTGTGTGTGTGTGTGTGTGTTTAGTTTTTGTGGTGGTTGTTTTGTGCAGCTCTTTTCCATCATGCTTATCCCCTGTCACTTAATTCTTCGTGTCCCCGTCTTTCCCCCTAGGGATAAGGACAGAGCAGGATTTCTACGTGCGCCTCATTGACTCCATGACAAAACAAGTAAGTTTCTTAATTCTACGCCGTGGGGATGACTCTAAGATCACCAATTTCTGGAGAGTCACAGAAGCTGGTTGTTCTGAAGCAGGAGTGCTGGGACGCGAACTCTTCAGAGCCAGGGTGGACCTGGGAGCAGACACCATGCATGCCCTTGCACCTCTGTCTCCGCTTGGGGACTAAGGCTCCAGGCTCCTTCCGTCAGAGGGAAACTCAGGCCTCCTGATTAAGACAGCAGAGGGCTGAGTGAAGCCAATCAGAGCTGCTGACTTGGGCCAAGCAGCCCCAGGGGGTGCAAAAGGTGCCCAGGGACCTCCAGACTGCTAGGACTGCACTTGGGAAACCCCAGCCAGCCAGGCCTCCCCGGGAGACCCCAGGGCGGAGACTTGGGGGATGGGGCGGGGAGGGGGGATGGATTGGCTCCCCCAGGAGTGGCTATAAGAGCTAGAGCAAAAATGACCAGTTCTCAGATTTTGTAGAAAGGAGGTGGTAGCGAAGAGTTGTGTTGGAAAAGGGAGCGACAATGGTTAGAGGATATTTTTTTGGGAAAACAACAACAACAACAAAAAACACTCCAGCTTTTGCCTCCAAGTTTGGCAGGAAGCCAGGAGGCAGGAGGGAGCTTTCGGTCTTAAAGGTACATAGACTGCATTTTCCTAAGCTACCCAACACCCGGGTGTCAGGCAGTATACATTAAGGTTGAGTTATGGTTTAAAAGATACAATTATGAGAGCAGTCAGAAGAGAGGCCTGACATTTTAATGAGGAGCAGTTTTTTTTTTAACTTCTTAATTTTAAGAAAAAGTTTAGTTTTAGAATGAAGTAGTTGAAGGCCATCAGTAGCAGAAAAAAAAGACAGCTTTATTGGGTGGGGGAAAGAAATCAGAACAAAGAGGAAAATTATCCATTGGATACTAACCAGCAATTTAGGGAGAGGATTAAAATTTGTTTACTTGATTGTTAATTTTCAATGTTCCCTGTAAAATAAATAAAACACTAACTTAGAAAGTTTGGAATTAGAGGGTGCAGGCAGATTTGAAAATTGCTTTAGATACACCATGGCTTAACTATGTTGTACAAAATACACAATAAGCTGTTGGAAGTTTAAAAAATCTTAACAATTTAATAACAGCTAATTTTGATATTCTCATATTTCATTGTGACTTAGGTAGAAAATAAGACAATATGAAATCTATTTTAAAAATAATGTCTATTGCAATTGATTTCATGTTACTGCCCTAAAACATTTGCCTTTCTAGAAGATTCTGTTCCCTTTTTAGTTGACAGCTCAGAGTAATTTCCCATTTGTACTTTTAGTTTGGGTCTTATTTTCTTTAATGGATTGATTATAACATAGGTTAATTCTCTTTCATTTGGACTCCGTATTTGTTAAAAAAAATTTTTTTCTTGCCAAGAAGAAACACAGACTCCTGACTTCAGTAACTTTTTTTTCTTTTAAATATCAAATCAAAAATGTCTTAAGTGGAGTTTTGTTTTCAAAAATTGTCTTTGATACCTGGCTATCCTTTCTTGCCATTCTTAGATGGAAAAAAAACGCATTGGGATATAGTCCATATGTATTTATTAGGATTTATTTTTTAAAAGACCAAAAGCACACATGCACAAATAAGAGTATAAGGCCTGTTTGTGTGTGCATTTAATTCTGTGTTAAAGTATTATGAGAGGCGCAATTTTAACGAGCACAAAATTCGGACATATTTGAAGTGATTATTTTTATCTGGTTCAAACATTCTGAAAACTTTTGGGTCTCTGAACAAAAAGGTGTCACCACAAATTGATTTTTCCATTATGAAGTGAACTGACTTTACACACACTCATATGAAAACAGTGGGAGAAGAATATTTTGATTTTTATAAAGCAATACATCAACTATCATTTTACTAACAAGGTCAGAGCTTAAGAAAAAGTGCAGCTGAAAGCATTCTTTGATGGCTTGGTATCATCATAAATTCTATGGGGGAGGAGAGAGAAGCAAGAACAAGTACACATTAGTTTTAATAAAAGCAGGTATGAGAAAGTCTTTGCCATATGCTATCTTGCTGAAAGTTAAAACTGTAAATGTATACAATTATATAGTCAGATGGGGAGTGACCTGAACAAAAAGATTTAATAATTATCTAAGTTAGTGTAAATATATCATGGAAAAGGAATATTTCAAGACATATCTATTTGCTTTCATAATTAGGTAAATAACCACTTTACCTATAGCTTTCACTTTGAAAGGCAATGCCTGCTAATTCGCCAGTTGCTTGCTCTTTGATTTTGTGCTGTCAGAGTTTTGGAAGTATGGTGGCTTACCGTATTCACATTTAATTCAGTCCTCTCCAAAAAGAAGGTAGATCGGTGGGAAGGAGCCTAGCTTTCCCTAACTGTGACATAATAATTTATATTTAGCAGTAATGAGTAAAATAGTGGGTCAGTCCTAGCTTGAATGTATTGTATGATAAATACCCAGTCTGATTTTTAAATTTCTTAAATTTTTGACTTTTCTTAAATATACAGTGCCTTCCCTCTAGAAGTAAGGCTTGACGTAAGGTGACTGATTACATGGTTACATTTTCCCCCTGTAAAATTCTTCCTGATTCTAGACTGTGGTTTTTGGAGTAATGAATGGAATACTTTTGGTGACAGGATGAGTTCTAACAACATCAGAGGTTGTGCAGGGAATACCTAGCCACTGTTCAAGTGTCTTAGTTGTTTGTTTATCTTAACATTTTTCATACCAGAGATGTGACACTGTATTGTGTATGATGTCATATCCTTAACTCCATGCTAGGGTTAGAATTCAAAAGGAATGTTGGGTAAGCAATGTGTAAAGGGAACTGTGCATTCAGCATTTTCATAGATTGTTTCTGATCTTGGTGTAGAGCTAGCAGCCCTGAGATGGAACAGAAATGTACTTGATCAACCAGGACTTATTGGTATGACACGGTATTTCACACCTTTTCAAAGTGTCTCATTAGACTCTTTTGAGTAATGACTCTTAATTTTGGATTCTACCAGGAATGGTAAACCTTCATTAGAAGTGAATGTGTAAGGACCTGGGGCTCCTTTCCCTCTGCCCCCTTTGTAAAACAGATAGGATATTATATTTTGAAAAAAACGATCCATCAACTAGAAAATAAAAGTCTTGCTTTTGGGCAGGGTTGTTCAAACCAAGTTTAGCTGACCTAAAAATAGATTGTTTTTGTGTCATTGCTGTTTTTGGTATTCTATTAGTGAGCATACAAAAGCCATGTCGGATCCAGAAGTTGGTGACGGCTATATCCAGAAACAATGTCAACTTCAGAAGCTCACGCGAGCTCAGTGGAGGTCTGAGCCTTAATATGCTCATTTCAGACTTTGATGCAGTGCTTGAAATCTGATTATATTCAGTGACTACTTTAGTGAAGTATTTATCTTTAAGTAGTTAAAAAAAAACACAGAAAACCAAAGCCAAACAAGCTCATTTCCCCTCCTACCATCTTGCTTGAAAAGTGACAATTTCTTCAGTGTCACTCAGAGAAATGATACCAAATTTCATAAAGTAATCAAAACCAAAATGTTGTCTGCCACCAGACAAAAGCTGTTTTGGAGAAAGGAAAACAGTAGTTGCATAATCTTTGTATGTATGGATTTAAAGTTGGGAGGAGTACAGAAGGGGGCCTAATATGTCCTGATACTGCAGAAATGCAGTCAGATTTCTCCTGTTAGCTAGACTGTTTTATATGTATGTTTTCAAGTTCCCAATACTTTAAGTCATTGATACAAATTCATTTTTCCCTACTGATTGTGTCATTGTATCCTGCCATAGTCACATAGATTTGATTAACAACACTTGAAGTTCGTGCATCTTCTTTGGTAGATAAACCCACTTTTAGTATATCAGAAAGTTCTCAAGTAATTCACCAGGCCAGCAGAGAGTTTCTGTCATACATTTGGGGAAACAAACATACAAAAAGGGATGCAGGAAGTTTAAAGTCAGAGGCCTTATTTCTGCAGCTTTCTGTCTCCTTTGGTTACATGTCAAAAATGCAGGTGATTTAAATTTCCTTGCACATAGAGGAGTGAAGAAGTTTGGAGTTTTTATGCATGATCAGGACCTGTGTTTAGGAAAATGTAAACTCATCACAGTGGAAAATGTGTTGTTTGGAGTCTGGGGGTGAAAACAAAGCTGATGATTTTGGAGAGATTGCCGGAGCCAGATGGCCTAGTACTTCCCCAGTCTGGCGGTCCAACTGCTCCCTCCTGGATAATATACAGCCATTTGTTCGGGGATATTTACGCTAGAGCTACTTCCATGTGAGCGAGCAGCATTAAAAACGAACATATTAGTAGAGATGCATTTATCGAACTCGTACGACTGTACAGACAGCCTGTTCTCTCTGTCTTGTATTACTGAGAGGGATGAAGGAGTGCTTGGACATTGCTGAATTGTTTATGTAGTTATTGAGCAAGAAAGATTTGGTCTTAGTAATGAAAATATAGAAGTGCTTGAAATCAAAGTAATGCAAATAATCATAGCGCCTACCTCGAAGCTCTGTTGTGAGAATTAAATGAATTTGTACATGTAGAGGGCTTGGAACAGTGACCCACGTATATTTCATAATAAAGTAGCTGCTGTTATTATTTTATTATTATTATTTATTATCTTCATTGCTCCATTAGGTCAACAAAGTCAATTGTTTCTACTAACATAGATATAAATGTAGTTATCATATGAGTGAAATGTCTTTTATTTCTAGGAAAAGAAGTGTCTATGGGATCGTAAGAATGACTTCAGTTTTTTCCCAGGGCATTTGAATAATATAACATGTTTTAATTCTTTGAGACAAAAAAAAGCTGTCTTTGAAGGCATGCCACATAGGGTACATATTTGCTTTTTATTCAGGGCTGTGATGTAACTGAACAGTATTTCTGAATATGACATCATTCCTTATGTGTCTCTGAGAACGGCCTGCTTAGCTGCTGAGCTGAAATTACATCTTTGCAATTTGTTCACCAGTA